GTGGGGGGGGGGGGGAGGGAAATTTTCTTTATCCTCCGGAGATCTTCATCTCCCCAGTGCCATCTTGCCTCTTTACAAAGCACACCTTCTCACATACATCTGCTAAAGAGGTAATGTCTGTACAGAAGAAGCACTTTAAGTGTGCTTTGTAAAAGACGACATGGCAGTGGGGAGATGAAGGTCTCCAGAGAAAAAAGAATCCTCCAGGGACATAAACCTAAAGCTGACCTCCCTCGATGAGGCTGAAAAAGAACAGCCAAGTCGACGGTGTCTACAGCATCTTGCTGCTCTTTTCTAGATGGACCAACTGCTCTAGCAATAGAATCGTTCATTTCCACGAAAACATGAAAAAACACAATGTCGATGAACCTAGATGCAAAAAGAAATCGATCAACCAGAGAATCTGAAATCGACATTGTTCTGGTCACCATAAATCAATTGTTAGAAAGAACAATAAATTGACCAGTTCAACAAAAATCCCGTGATTGATGTGCTCTGTGAATCTGTTTGTGTGTCTTGACATTTGTACATGAAGTTTCATCCGTAAATGATGGTTCTATTGTAGTCTTGGTCAATTCAGTGTTCCACCCTTTCAACTTTGATAGTGAAGACGCCTGCGATAGCTCTTTGTTTACAAAAAAATTAAACTAAGTATAGGCTCATCATAAGATTCATGCAGGTAACCCTACATAGTTTGGACAATGCTTTGTTGAGCTGAGTTTGAGTTTTTTTTTTGTTGGAATTATGAACCCCATCCCCCNCCTCCTAACAATTTTTGTTCGTTAGTTGTTATGTTCTTCAGATTTGTTACCTCCGGTGAAATACGCAAACGCTCGGAATTTTTTGAACCATTTATACTGGGTTTAACCAATGCGACGGTAGAACAGGTCAGTTATCTTGTCATGCATCATCGTTTTGCTTTTGTAGTTGAATAATTTGACGTTAAAAAAAGATATAGGTATTGATTGTAGATCCGGGAACTCAGTATTTGTCCAATAAAAAGGGATAACAACAGGAAAAGGATAATAGATTCCACTGTGTATGTGTGCACAAAGCTCAAGAAATTTTTTTATTGTCTTGAGGGGGAGGAACCATTATTGTCAGACAATTGTCATGCAAAAAGAAGAAAGAAACTGATCTTTGATTCATGGATCGCAACTCATTGCATTTGGCCTACAGTGCTACTTATGGTTGGTGAAAATGACTATATTGTAGAATTGGAAATGTCTTTTTGTCAAAATCACTAAATTGCCCACCTTACAGTCACACATCTGTAATTCAATGATTTCATTTTTTTTTCCTACTCCTGAGGTATGGTTGGATCCTTTATGGTTTGAGATTATGTTCACATCCCTTGGGTTCGTGAAACTTTGTGGAGTTGTTTACCCCTACATGTCTTTTCTTATGGCTTCCTTTTTCATGTAGTTTTGCAAGTCGTCTGTGGAACCAATGGGTGAAGAGAGTGACCATGTGCACATTACAGCCCTGTCTGATGCATTGGGTGTGCCAATTCGTGTTGTTTATCTAGACCGCAGCTCATGTGATAATGGTGGTGTCAGCGTAAATCATCACGATTTCACTCATGTCACTGGTGATCTGCCCGCTGATGCTGCCACTGTTGGTGACCCTAAGACCATCAATCCGTTTATTACATTGCTATACCGACCGGGACACTATGACATTCTTTATCTGAAATGACTTGGTCTCACTTGGACTGGTAAGCTGTTGTCAAGTCTTTTGGTGGTTTTATGTGTAAAAATTCCTTACTGAATGAGAAATTGGCCTATCATCTGTTGCAATGCACTGCTGCTTGCCAGCCACGGTGAAATCACGAAAAACGTTGCAATGAATCTATAGAATGCTTTCATCTTTTCACCAGAAGATGGTAGCCTACACCTAGTGATATTGACTGTGGGTTGCAGCATGTTGACAACATCATTGATTCTATGGAAATTGTTTGTAGTGTACTTATGGTTTGGCCCTTATTCAATTACACCAAATATTTTTCATGCTAGGCTAAACATTTTACATGTTTTCAGATTCAGTGTTTTTGGACGAACAAGAAATTTAGGTAATGCAAGGCCATTGACCAAGTCCTGGTTAGGGCCTTGAAAGTAAATCTGCATTGGCAGGAGGTAGGGATGGGTTATACTAGTTCATTTTTTCCTACTGGGACTGGCCCCACCTCTTCTTTTTTTTCCTTTTCATGCCCTCGTGCATATATCCTGGGAGAGAGCATATTGTTATTCTTTGGTCTTGCCGAGTTGGGTGTCGAATTAGACACGCATATAGATGTGATGATATGCTTGATAAATTATGTTCCTCTATAATCAAGTTTTCAGTCATTTAGGAAGTTAGTCTGTTGCGCGTTAGAAAGAAGTCAGGTAGGAGCTCATGTGCGAGCATTTTGGTTCGAGTACAGAAAAGTCAAATAACGCTTTTGAATAGCAGATGAAGAAGCTGTCGAACTCTTTCAAACTTGAGGTTTTAGAGAATTTTATATTACATTTATTTCCTTCCTCGGTTTGAGGTGACGAAATACCAAGTTTAACTTAAAAGTCGGCCTGCCTGTAGACCCTCTTTGGGAAAAAAATGTTAATTACAATGATGATAATGTGATATGGTATTATTAATTAATAATATTAAAATAAATAAGTAAATGAATTTTACAAAAATTAATAATTAATTTGTTATGCAAGTAAATAATTTTTCACTCTTCTTTTATATAAGTTCAAGTGGGGTTTACTTTATTCACTTAAAATTTTATTATTAATTAGTGATATCATATCATTAATAATAATATAGTATAACCGTTTTATTTAATATTTACTCATTTTTTAGAGTATCTATGGATTGGGAAAGGTTACGGTACCGAAGGGGGTCCCATATCGAAAATTATAATAATTTCAGGTTAAGTTATAATATTTTTAAAGTTAAGTTACAACTTTTAAAAGTCAAGTTACAATTCAAAAGAGAGAAATTACAACTATTCATAGAAAATTTATGATCGATCATTTATATCTATAATCTATCATGAACCTTTGGTCAATTATAAACTTTCCTTAAATAGTTGTAATTTTTTTCTTTTAAATTATAACTTTATTATAAAAAAAGTAACTTTTAGTACGGTATTCAAGGCGATACCATACACTTTTCCCTATGGATTAGTAAGGCGGCAGAGCCCAAACATATGGAGGCAGGCAGTTAAGTAATTGGATTATTACTTCTGCCTTACCTGACCGATCGAATTAATTTCAACCAAAACAATTTAGTGTGTGTGTGTGAGAGAGAGAGAGAGAGAGAGAGAGAGAGAGAATTGAAAATTCAGCCTTGTTATTTGAGTGTTGCAAGGAGGAATAGGAAGGGAAGGATATAGGGTAGGTTTGAGCTCCTATATTGGGCTTTCTACAATTGCTTGGGTACCCAATTGGCCCCCACGGACATAATAGGGTTGTATTGACTAAATGTTGCAATGTTTTATGTCTACATGATCCTTGTTTTTCTGGCAAGCCTATAAAAGAAAGTCATTTATTAGTCCCATAAATTTGTAAGTAATGTTATATTTATTAAATTTTTATTTTGCAAAATTTTTACTATCAAACAAGTGAGTCTTATTACTCTCTCCGTCCTAAATATCTTTTATTTTACATAATTTTTTTTGTTCTATAATATCTGTCGTTTTATGAAACAAAATCATAATTAATATTTTTTTTTTCAAATTTATCCTTAAATTTTCAATACATTAGATTAGATGGAGGCTAAGTGTCTTTCATATTCTTTTCCTTCCCAATACATATTGAATAAAGATATTTTAATTTTGTATAATTATTTTTTACTCATATATTACAGCTATTTAATATCTGTCACGTTATTTAGGATCAAAGAATCGATAAAAGAATTTAGTGCGTATAGCATTTTCCTAAATTTTCTGATCGTTGCACAGAGGAAAAGAGGATTTTGGTCAAAAGCATGGAGGATTACACGAGGGATGGAAATGAAGATTTCTTTAATTATTTCTCTTTTCTTCGTATCCCTTTCTAGTTGCGTGGATTTCTCTTACATGAGGTGAGGCGCCACGGCAGAGATATTGAATGCAGTACTACTACTAGTAGCATGTAAACCAACCATTTCAATTCCAAAACTTACTACTACAAAATCATAGCATTCTCATTCTCATTCTCATTCATTCTTATTTGTGAAAAAGAAAACCCAAAGAAATCCTCAAAAAAACAGTTCAAAAAGAACTCAAACCTCTCTTCTCAGACATGCATTGAAGTTTTTTTGTTCCTGCTATGGCTGTGGCTATGGCTATGTCTATGGCCCTGGCCGCTGAGTTGTTAAGAATGGCAGAAATCTTCACGAAAACCAAACCTCTTCCGAAGCTTGAGAATGGCGATGTACATTTTGCGCCTAGAACCAACAGCATTTATCCCCATATCCTTTAAATCCTCCAATGTCAACATCGGTAGAACCTCATCGTCCACCTCGTGTATCTCGAAAACCGGCGCATAACGCCCCAATCCAAGCCCAATCAGCCAATCTCTTACCCCTTCATTGCTTGTTACGCAATTCCGTTCCTCCCGAGAATTCGATTCCGGCATTCCATTCTCATCATGATCTCCATCACGACTCTTCGAAACCCTAGCCCTAATTGGCCTCCGATGCCAAAAATCGAACTCCGCATTGTCAATCGATTGAACTGGGCTCTGTTCTTTCAGCGGACTCTCCGAATCCTCAGCTTCGAATTCCCTGAACGCTTTTCCATCATCATTATCTTCTCTACTATTATCCCCAACGACGCCGCCGTTGTCGAGTTTCAAGGCTGCGGCCGCCAAATTGGTTCGTATTTTTTTTGTAGGTTTTTTCAATTTGGGCATTTGGCTCCCGAGTTCGGGGTTGTGGGTGCTGTTGTCTTCGTTGGTGTTCAGGTTGTCATGGTTATTATCACCCCCGTTGACGAGGTTGGTCAAAGGTCGAGTTTTGGAGGTTTTAGTGACTAACCTCGGGTGTTTATGAAATTTCCAGGTCGTTTTGGGTCGTCGGGGATGAGAATCGTTGGAGACAGTGGCTGGTGGATCCCCGATCTCGCCCAGACGGACACTCGGCCGGCGTTGGCGTTTTGGTCCTAAACTTGTGCCGATATTGCTGGTGGTGTTGTCGATTTCAGAAGAAACGGGTACTATTGGAGTGGCGGCAGTGGTAGTGGTAGTAGTGGTGGTTGGGCCTGTGTCAGGTAGGACTTCCGGCGGCTGTAACTCAGCCATCAAAGGAGTGATTGAGGAGAGAGAGAGAGAGAGAGAGAGAGGATTGAAATGGGTTTTCTCTATCGAGGGAGTGCTTGTTCAGTTCATTTACCTTTCAGTTGGGATTGATCGTCTTCTCTTTGGAGTTTTGCCAGCTACAGATTCAAAGGAATATCTAGCCGTGATTGCAGGCAGCCAAAACAACAATCTATTTGTCGTCGAACGCACCCCAAAAACAAAAATAAAATAGTGTTTTATCTTTTATCCCATTTTAAGGGACTGTGTAGGAATCGTTTAAAAATAAGTTGAATATATTAGAGTTAAAATTAATAAAATTTATATAATAAAAATTAAAATGACAAAATTCTATATTTTAAAGACCAAAAAGTGTTAGTAAAAATTATATCCACATGCCCGAAAATTTGTCACTATATCATATAGACCCTCTCAAGTATGAAAAATTACACCGTAATCCCTTGAGATTTGATTTTGTATAATACATAGTCCCCAACTGTTTAGAACTGTTACAAAATTAGTTAAATTTCAATGCAATCACTTTATATTTGCCATAAAATTTTTCAAATTACCCATGCAAGACCAACTACTAGATAACTATTAATTTGGTCAAAAAATAAGTCAAAATTATTGGCCAATATTTGATCACTGTCTAATAGGGTTGTTTTTGTAGATTCCATGGTGAATTAAGACGAGAATGAATTTAGAAATCTATGACATGCTCATCCCGAAGATTCTGCTCAAGTTTTTTTATAGAGAGAGGTGAGTCGAGGGTAGTTTCCCGCTTGACCGATTTTTAAAGTTGGAGGAAGATATCTTATCTGATGACCCTAAACAAGAAGGAGTCGCTCTCGATGTGAGATCAACAACAAAAGAAAGAAGAAAAGGGCCATGATCCTATGTTTGCTTTCGTCTTGCCTTGATGATGTACGTTATCAGGTTGCGATTGCTATGGTGTCAACAAAGATCGTTTGATTTTCCATGCATGTGGTAGAATCAGAAAGAGATCTCTGAGGAACAGTACCACAAGAATAAGATATTGAGAAAAATCCCTTTTTTCTGTCACTTTATTTACTCATTCACATTGTATTCCGTGATTAAATTTATTGCCTATCACTTGAGTGATTTCCTTGAGTTTTACTTAGGGTCAGAGGCCGTCATTAGTCAGAACATGGGAAGAAAGTCAAAAATTAGAAGCTAAGTACATGTATGCTTCTTGGTGTGTATACTCTGTTTTAAAATTGGTTTGTGTCCGATTAGTTTTTACTTCGCTTTCTTGATTTTGAAAATAAAGGTTAAATATCAATCTATGTTTATCAATTCGTGATCTTTTGAATTTGGTGATCGTAGGGTTAAGGTTGGTTCTCAATGAGGGAGTATTTATTCATTCTTTGGTCCAATTCTCTTTTGATCACCCTGATTTTTTATTTGTATTGACAAATGAAATTAAAAAGGCTCATGCTAAAAGTGTTATTTTTAATAGTTTATTATAAACTTTGCCTGCATATGTTTTATATTGTATTTTATTAGGCTTTCAGTTGTAAAGTTTGATATGTAACTTAAGGATCATGAAGGTTTATGGTGTATAATGCCTTTGTAATAAATATTAGTTGCTTTGATTATTTCCACATATTTCCGTTGATTTGGCATCTCTATGCTGCTAAGATATCATCTCTTGGGTTTGGAATGTGATTGTCTCTATGTTGCTATCTTATCATTTAATTATTCTATGCCAAATTGTGTTCTTTTTTATAATTTAATAGCATAGTGTGATGGTATAAAGTCATGCCCTTTGCAATGTTGTGGTAGTTATGATTATGCTTGGATTTAGGATTTGGGTGGTGATTTTGTTGTGAAGATCGTGGTTATTATGATTTAAAAGTAAAGTATAAAAATATTATTTATGATGTACGGCTATGCTATCCCTTATTGAGATGGGTTATTACCTAACTTAATTTTTTTTTCAGGTATCTTGGAATTTTCTTGGGCAATATGTTTCTTATATATAATGATTTAAATTGTTTGTTATTTTGTCTCAATGAAACAAAAAAAAAAAAAACTAACGTTTATAACTGGTATGTTTAGCCCCCGATAATTATAACTTTTTATATGTATATATATTTTTGTGGTTTTAGACGTATAAAAGAGGTAAGATTTGAAGTTTCTACACGAATATATGCAAGCTATATCCACAATTTATTGTCTTTTGGTGACGTTGATTAAGACAGAGAAAAGACAACAAAAATAGTGAAAATTATGATAGGAGAGGAGGAGACAGTCAGGAATACTCTCACTGCCTATGAGGCAGCACATAGGTTGGTTATTGTGATTTTTAGTGTGTTGGCATGAGTGTTTNCAGAGAAAAGACAACAAAAATGGTGAAAATTATGATAGGAGAGGAGGAGACAGTCAGGAATACTCTCACTGCCTATGAGGCAGCACATAGGTTGGTTATTGTGATTTTTAGTGTGTTGGCATGAGTGTTTTGATGTGAATTTTTTTTGGTGGTTATGGTAATTGTTAAATATGCTAAAAAAATTTCTTGGTTGCAGGTTAGATTTGGATTTGCATTTATTTGGTGAATGCGTAAATTTATGCTGATATGGTGATCCACATTATTTGATTTGTGAGTCCAAGATTTAGTGGTGGTGTGTTCAATATCTATTTGATTTGGTCAGGTTAAGATTTTCTTGATTTGATATTATGTTCATTGATTTGTGGCTTGGGAGCATTCTTAATGTCACATAATGTATATGACTTTGCATAAAGATTGCCTTTGGTAGTATATAGAATAGTTGTATAAATGTTTGTTTGATTTGTATAGCCATATTGAGCTGATTTGCATTGTGACAACCAAATGCTATTTGGTTACACATGCTTTGGATCCATACTGTCAAAAAAACACTCCCAATTAAAATCCATGTTACATCTTGAGACTCATTAACAACAGGTCTCTTAAAAAATTATGAGGGCTGCAATGGTAGAGTGTTAAAGTCTACAAGTTAGTACATGAGATATTTATTTATATTTTTATAGAAATGTCATTGTTTGTGAATTGCACAGGTCTATCGCTAGGATTGTAGCGTGATTCCGAGGTAGTAATTAGTTTGAGGTAAGTTTCTTTAAATAAAGGTTTGTAACAATTATTAATTCATTTAAATAAGTGTTAAACCCAAGTTAAAATCGTNACCCATGTTAAAATCGTTGAGTGTTCATGTTTTAAGAGGAAATTTTATCGTTTTTAAAAAAATAGTAGTTCCATATTGATCGACAAAGTTTTAGGTTATACACACTCTCTAAGCATGGAAAATTGTTTGAATTTTTTTTTGTTTCTCAGTGCCTTCAGGCACGAGCAATTACTAGCATCTATATAATAAAATATAATACAATTCAAATTTCAAAAGATAAAAAAAATGACTTTTACTAATCGCGATTGAGATCTCTTTAAATTTTATTTTAAAGTTAATCTGATGGTTAATATTAACACTCTAAATTTAATATAAAAAATAGGGCTCTAAGGGTATGTTAAGAGTGACTTTTTAAAAGTGTTTTTAATACTTATAACTTCTTATAAGTACTTTAAAAAAAAAATAGTGTTTAGAAACCGTCCCACTAACACCTTTATCACTAGCAGCCCCACCATTACCACCACCGTCACCCCACCATCTCCATTGTTGCCACCCTACCACACTTATCGTCCCACTACCACCATTACTGTCAACACTACTGTCGCCCCACCATCACATCTTCCGCAACAACTAGCACCGCCGCCCCACCTTCCATAACAACCATCACCGCCACTCCACCAGCTCCACTATCGTAATCCCACCGCCACTACCATCATCGTTGCTGTCACCTTACCACTATCGTCACTATCCCACCATCTCCCCTACCACATCCCCATTGCCCCCAACCACCATCTCCATTATCACCTATAACTGCCACCATTACAATTGATTGTCATCATCCATCACAACTATCACCGTCTCCCACCACCACTACTGCCACCTATCATCACTACTACCGCTCACCCCTATTAACCAGTGCTTAAATTCATTTATTTCTCCTCTATCTTTGTAATTTGATTTTAGGTGTGAATACAAATATATTTATTGTTGACCATTTTTTTTATTACTCTGTGCTTTCAGATACTAGAAATAACTACTAAATATATATAAGATGACATACATTAACAGAGCTACATAGGGGCGAAAGTGGCACATACCCACCCTAAATTTTTTTTGAAAAAATATGATATTTATATATTCTAAAAATTATATTCATATTTTTTACTTGTATTCATCCTATAATTTTTTTATTTCAATTCGGCTCGTATATAAAAGCGAACATAAAAATCTGATCAAATGCAAATATATTTGCAATTTGAATGTGTCTAAACGAGCAAAAACAGAGTCAATCCGATGTGATTTAACATATGTTACAAGATTTGATTTTATGATAACTGGTCTTCAGTATGTTCTTTGAAACTCAAGACATTTATGTGGTGGGACATGTAGATATCGTTCATATATTGTAGTCTTGCAGGAGGGAAATGAAGAAGTGAAAAAAAATCCATTGAGAATAACACAATCATAATTTTCTTTTGCCAACCTTTTTCCTATGTTTGAATGACAAAAATTAAAACATGTTTTGCTGTTAAGGAAACAGTTGGTGAGGAAATGGTTTTAATACACCAAATACAAAAGCCAAACTCTAGTTCCCTTTCTTTGCCTCAACTTTCGCAGTGACTACTTATATCAAAATTCAAATATCTTAGTATAAGGAATTGATAGGACCGAAGCCCTACTCAGATGGTTGAAGCCCTCAATAATAAAGTGACAGGTTGATGGTTCGAGTCCTTCTTCTCCTTTCTCTTCCCTCCCCTCTGTAGTGTAAAAGTATCGTAGTTTTTTTTTTTGTCAGACACTATTGAAGATCGACATGGTTTTGAAAATCAAACGTTACGGTGCGTAATAGCCGTTACGTAACGGTAACGGCAAACTCCGATCCCGTTACACTCCGGTATAACGGGTAGAAAAATTTTCACACCTGCAACGGCCGTTACTGCACCATAACAAGATGTAACGGGTGTTATAGGAGCGTTACAGTCCGTTATGCTGCTGTAACGGCCTATTTTTTTAGCTTCCATTGTTCGGCCGTGGAGTTTTCTAGCCGGAAGAGATGACCGGAG